TTTGGAGGAATACACAAAGCTACACTCTGTTGTAAGATTCAATCAGGTAAAAATTTGTTGAGAAGCCTTGCTTGTGCAACAAAGATCCATTTTACCGATATAGCTAGGGCATATTTCAAAGATAAGATTAGAATATTGAATAAGGGAGCTTGGAATGTCGAAGTAAGAATACAATTCAGAATATATAGGTAGGCATTTCTTGGAACTAAAAAGTTATGAACAGCTTAGATAGGCAGCAGGCTTCTAGGAAGTGACTGGCAACGTGACATTAAGGAAATGTCTAATGTGTTCCAGCCGAAGCTTTTGAATTCAAGGTGTTGATGGATTATTATAGCAAAGCAGTGGGAGAAAAATGAAATCCAATTAACTCTTGAACATCCCAACATTAAAGCAAGGCATATTATTGCTCTTGTGAAGTAACCATGACTCTTTTCTTCTCCTTTAGTAAACACTCATTTACTTGTAGATGATTTATGATTACCACTATATTGAGGGTTTTGAATTTATGTAATGTGTTTTACTACACATGTTATTGTGTTGCTTGTCAAACTGTTAATTTTGTTTCTCGATTGCGGGGGACCATGATACTGAATCAATTTGTTAACTTTGACTTTCAGAGAGTTAGTAAACATTTGGTTTATAAATTTATATTATATATAAATGCATGTTTTTATCGAAAAGGTTTTTATGGGTTTTTTCACTAATGGCTATGCAGATAAACCAGCAGCATGATCAAGCTTGTAATGAGATTCATCATTGGAAATTTAGAGACAACCATTTCTAGGTCAATTCAAGGGTATCAAAATAATATTAAGTAGTTGTGATTGACCTACTGTATTAACAGTTCTTGGAGGCTTCTTGTAGTATTGTGCTTGACATATGTTCCTTTGGTTTTCCTTTTCATCAAAGAGTACTGCAAGTACTCTATTATTAATAAAATTTTCTATCATTTTTTATCTTAATCACTTCTCATGGCCTATTATTATTCTTTAAAGAGAATAAATCAGACCATTTTCATTTCAAAAAAAGAAGTGACATTTACATTTCTTCCCTTTCTTTTTCCTGTAGAATAAAAACTGTAAAACTTATACCAAAATATCAAAATCACCAATAAAATTTATAAAATATTCAACCTATAACCTCGTCATATGTACTTACCATTGAACTTAAGTTGTGTCTTTCGAATGTATTTACAGAAACTTATGCTTCTAGAATCTAAACCTTGGAGCTAAACCAATTCAACAATAGTAGTTCTAAAAATTTTATTCTAAGAGCTACTAATCAAGAGGAATTGCTGATAACTAAGTGAATCTTCAATTGCAAAAGGCACCACATAATACAATTTAGAATTAATTGATACCGTTGGATGGAGAACAATTTTAAAGCGGTAAATTTTTGTAGAAGAGTAATGGATACAAATGACCTTATATAGATACAAAATCAAACAATTGGAAAAGGCGGACACAAAAGCAAATTATTGGAAAGGGCGAGAAAGGTAGAAAGAGAAAAATAAAAAAATAATTTATTGCCACATGCAAATTTCACCGTGGAGTGTCAATAAGTTGCTGATTTGTCATGTTTTCATTGGACAAACCACTGACATGGTACCACAATAATATACAAGAATTTCTCCATCACATCAGTTAAATTTAAAATTATTAAGGCACGCATGTATTTGAAATTTAGGTTAAAAAATTTGTTAAGAGGCACGCATGTATTAGAAATTTAGGTTAAATGATGATTCTTCGATGGGGTATATTTTGATTAATTCATTTCAAACCAAATTTTTTTTTTTTTGGTTAAAATCAAATTTAACCATAGATTATTTTGATTTGAATTGGTTTAAGAGTAAAGAAAAAAAGTTACTAAACCCAATTTTCCAAGTTAATAAATTTTGATAATTAACCAAAATATTTTATTCGAACAGGGGATTTTGGGGGAGGGAGAAATTTTTAAGATAAGGCAGGGTACCGTGCTTAAACTGTGGATCTCATGGAGAGATACAGATGCACCTTCTAGTATAACCAAAGCTGCGAATGCTAATTAACCAAAATAATGACTTAGAATTTTTATAGTAGGTCGTATGAGTTTGGTTAATTGAATTAAATTGACTAAGTTTACCTGAATTAACCAAAATTTAACCAAACCAATTTTTGAATTAACATATGATTTTGTTGAAGTATGTTGTTCCCTTATAACTGTGAAAAAGTAAAGTCCTATATCAATGGAATATGAAGAGAAAGAGTGATTTAAATATGTTCAGATCCATGTAATTATTGAATTAATTTTTTGATTTCAAGATGATATCAAAGCAAAAGTACAACCAATATCATTAATTGTTCATGGTTTAAATATGCCAAAACCCAAAAAACATTAGCTTTGAAACAAAAATGTGTCTCCCCGCTATAGGTTAGATGTCTCCCCTACGAATTCATTAGCTTTGAAATAGAAATCGTTAACCAAGATTTCAACCCAAGCAAACCGATGCCGTTCTCTTAAAAATTGCTATGATGAGCCAGAATCTTTTGAGTCATTGTAATTCAAGAAAGAAAACATGCATCTTTCAGGATTTTCTTCTACAAGATTGACATGTCATATGTGGATTGAAAATTTTGATACAAGTATATCTAATGATGATTTCTTTAAGAATATCATATTAATTATGTTATAAAGGGATTATGATCAACATCTTTTCTAATTAATTACTATACTTGGTGGATTTAGCCAGGTTTTGAGTCATTACTAACTAATGAACGAAAACAAAAATCCCATTAACAATTAGAAAAGTATCATTCACACATGCATGCTAATTAGATTGAGTCAGTCCAAATTCCAAATTAATCATCACGATCATATAAGCTATCATTACCCTATCAAGAAAAGCATATGTAACATTCTCCTTTCTCATCAAGTTTAGCCTTTTATTGGTGATCAAACGATCAAAAGCAAATGTGTTTTATTTCTGGGGCACGCGGCTTTGAAGAGACCCTTTTCTTTGTAGCTTTCTTTTTGTCACATTGAACCCTACGGGAAACTATCAAATGTCTCTGTAAAAGTAAGAGCCCACAACAAATCATGATTTCAAACATCAAATTTCAGAGCGAACAATTGATATCGAGCAATCATTCAACTTGAGACCGCAAAATTAATGTCCTAGATTTTACATCTTTAACTTTCCTTATTTGGGTCCTATAGCCGGTCACCACCAAATATCACTTCGAATCTTCCAATTATTAATAGCCTATATTTGCGCTTTTTTTTTTTTACACCCCTAAGTACTATATTCTCTTCCAAAGATTTAAAATTTTGGGAAAAGGGAGGTGATTGTAACTAACTTCACCAGTATGATCCGTCAAATTTAGAGCTTAAGATCACCAAGCTCGTAGGCTTGAGGCATGAACAAAAGAAAACTTCATTTAA